AGTAGTAAAGTCCTTGCCCAAGGTCACAGGCTGACTCTCAGGTATGCACACCAGGCTCAACATCTAGGCAAGGCTGCTGCTCTCAGTGAGCAGACAGGGGCAGCTTAGCCAATGTCTCTCCTGCAGGATTCCCCCAGCCTGGGCCCTCCCAGGGGCACACAGATATGCCATGACTCTCCATTTTCTCACAAGGTAACTTCAAGGGCAAGTGCTCCACAGAACTCATTTCGAGAAATGCCAAAATGGGTCCAGGTAGAGAGCATCCTGGTTAAGACACTGTTACCTTATTGGGGGAGCAGGTCTGTGAGCTCCAGAATGGGGTTAACAGGGATTAACAGGGCGCCGAGCTGAATTCTCAAAGGAATGGCTGCACCATTGCAAAGCACACTCTGAGCCAGAAACTCTACCCGGTCTCTCAACTCCTTCCACTTTCTGACACAATCAGAGAGCAAGAAGGGACATGAGGAGCCAGAATTCAAGGGCTGGGGGACAGCCACACCTGCCCAACAAGCCTTTCACTTCTGATGGGTCTACAGCGCCTGGAGCCCCATTCTGTCCATGCTCATCCGGGGACCGCCACACCAGAATGCACCCGCCATCCTGCCAAGCCTCACCCACGGGGCCAGCCTTGGCTGCCCCTCCCCAATCTGCCAGCCTTGCAACTGCCACATGCCCCACCTCGGGCTGAATTCAGGGTTTTGGGACTCATTCTGGCTCCAAAGTTCTATCTGTTGTAGTCTGTGCCCGCCAGGGGCCAAAAGTTAAGCAACCAAGAGAAAATAAACTCACCACTCGGGGGAGCTACAGCAGGTCCCACGTACAGGAGCCCAGCTAACTGCCAGGCATTTGCTGGATGCTACATACCCATCATTGCCACTCCTTATAAGAACCCTACAAAGTAAGCATCATTATGCTCTTTTTTACAGATGAAGAATTCAGGGCTTGACCTGGTTGCCTGACAAATTCGCCCTACTAATAGATGTGAGATCCAAGATTTGCACGTGGGTCTGACTATAGTCTCTACTCCAGTGTGTATTTCCATAGAGAGAGCCAGGCGCGAGAAGCAAGAGCTGCCTGGATGAGAGAAGGTCAGCTGGAGTGGGACGGAGAACTTCTCCAAGGCCTAAGTGATCTCATCCAAGGAGCCTGTGAAGGTCGCCCGATGCAGCTGATCCCCAGAACGCGCGAGAGGAGACGCGAGGGCCAATGTGCGTGGAGAATTCGGAGGCCCTGAAGCGCCAGCCCTGATTGGATGCATCAGGCCAGACCCTGGGTAATTACCAAGCCATAATGGGATCTGATATTTATATTAGTCCCGAGCCTGACAGAGAACACGTGTTGTTTTTTCAGACACAACCATGGAGACAATACCTCAATAATTCATTACATGCAGACCAGCCTCAATCAAGCCAAACTTCTACCGGGGGAACAGCCCTAGCTCAGGGCAGGAGGGAGGCTGCCACATGAGGCCTCTCAGCAAACTAAACCAGGAAGCCGGCCTCAGCTTCCAGACCAAAGGACACTGTGTGCTGGACGAGGGGCAGAGGGTGGAGAGAAAGAGATGGGGGGAGGGAGGAGGGGGGACTGAATTCCTAAAGGAATGGCTGGCTGCACCACACTCTGAGCTAGAACTTTACCCGGTCTCTCAACTCCTTCCACATCCCGACACTGAGTCAGAGAGCAGGAAGGGACGTGAGAATGCAGAATTCAAAGACCACATTTTAAACACCAGAAAAGAGACCAGAGAGGTTAAGTGACTTCTTCAAGGTCACGGCCTTCTTTAGGCTGCCAGAGCAGCTCCCTGTTCACACCAGTCTGCTGCTGGACTGGACCTCAAAATGTCACAGCCCAGTCAAGAGAGAGCTCTGATGAGACCCAACAGAAAACAAACAAACAAACAAACAAAAACAAAAAAAAAAAAACACAACGCAACCGAGAACAGAAAAGGGCACAGCACTGAAACGACTGAGTCCAAGGTCCCCATAGGAGGGAAATGGGATTCATGTTCCTATTTATTTCCTGAAAAGAAAAACCCACACACAATTCTTTTCAAAATTATAGAGTCATTCACCATTTAGGGTTCAGAAGCCAAAGGTGCCATCGATGCATCCCCAGTCCCAGGTTCCTTTGATCAGAAAGGATGCTGTGGTCCCAGAGACCCAAAGCCTGTGGTTCCACAGCTCCCTGCCGAGACTGACCTCCAGGGTTATTTCTGATGCTAAACGGACCAGTCTCCCAATGGACCCCCTCCCCCACACCATCTTGGGACTGAATGAAGGTGAGGGGGGAACACCTGTGAGGGCCAGAATTCTGGGGCAAGGCAGCCCAAGTTTGCTTGAGAAAACCAGCAGGAAAGTAATTATTCCAAGTTCAGGCCAAATGCACTCTTCTGTACTACCAAATACTTAGAAAGCAAAAAGAATGAAGGGCAAAAAGATTCATGACTGCAATGGACATCAAGGGTAGAAAGAATAGTTTACAGAAGGCCTAAGTTTTTACCACTGGGGATAAAGAGCTGGCTACACGCGGTTTAATTGAGCAAACCAAGGGGCACATAGTAAGAGATTCTGGGTGTGGCTTAAAATGAACTCTGACGGTATCAAGCGCGGCCAGAACCTTGTTGTACTTCGCCTCACATCTTCCCAACCAACTGCACGCAATTCTGATTTTTTTATAGAAATTTCTAGTTAAGTCATCTCAGCAGGTCTTAGAGCTACAAAATATAGCCTCACTGTAGGGATTATTGTATTTCTCTAATGATTGTTGCCAAACATCTATTTTCTTGAGAAAACTGACAGAAGTTGTGCTTGGTCATCATTCGGGAAAGTGATTCTTTATGGGGACGATAGGATTAGCATTTCCTCCCGGGCACTGCAGTGGCACGGATGTACATACACTCCGGAGCAGAAAGACACTGGAGCGTGCTTGACACCCCAGGACTTACAGAAACACCCAAACTTACTTAGATCCCTTTGAAAAACAAAGTTTTCATGATCATCAAGATTGCCCAGTTGCTTATGGATGAGAAGGCAGTTATAAAAAGTTCACCAAAATCACTCCATCACTCAGTCCAGAAAACATTTCAGATGCACACACTCATAAACTAGCTTCCCCTCGGGGCAGACACTGAAGCTCAGCAAAGGAACATACACTTCAGGGCTGAGGACTCCTGGAGGGGAGGGGGGGAGGAACTGGCGGTGGAGAGTAAATGCATGGATGAGAAGGCTTATGAGTGAGCCGTGGTAAAGGGGAGAGCAGCACTAAGGACAGGGGCTCAGGGGCTCACGCTTGGGATTCTGCTTAATCTGGTGGCTTCTCTGGGACCTGGGAGGTTTTCCACGGTGACAAGTCAGGAGACACCTCTGGGGCTGAGGCAGTGACTCCAAAGGAAGCAGGCCAGCCCAGCACCTGAAGGCTTCCGGAGAAGTGGGAGAGGGAGAGGGGGAGGGCTTTCATTGTTCTCCCTTATTTCCAACACACCAGCATTTTCCAAAACACAAACGTGCTGCCACAAAACACAGCTGAGCTTCAGCACCCAACAGGATGTATAATTGATGAGGAGAGCGGGGTTCGGTTCACCCGGTGTCACCCAGAGCCCCTGCTTCCCTCCCTCTTCCTGGAGCGACTCAGGAGCCTGCGACAAGTTGTCTTGCCCTGCGGAAGTTTTGAGGGGCCCTTGGATGAACTTTCCCAGGAAAGGTGCGAACCCTCCGAGGGGGGATCTCCCTCTACCTTGCACTGCTCCCCTAAACCCCTCCATCTCCCCTCCCTCTGAAAATGCTGGCCCCGGGAGGTCCCCAGGATGGGAACTACTCAAACAGAAGGCAGCTGGAGTCACTTTTTTCCAGTTCTTTCTTTTATATTCTGCAGTGTTCTATGCCCCCCTAACCTTCAGCCAATGGGGGCAGGAGGGCAGGGGTCAGTCTGTAGAGACCCAGCCACAGACCAGGCGGTAAGCCTAGCAACGGTGCCAAAGGCAAGGGAGCATGGGGGCTAGTGGGCGTCTCTGCGCCAGGGATAGCCTAACCCCACATCCAGCCACCCCAGAACCGGCCTCCGCGGCTCCCAGGCGGACCTTTCCCCCCCTCCCCCAGCTCCACGTTGCTGGTGCTATTGCCAGGGACCTAAAGGAGGTGGCATGGGGGCGAGGACACAGATGCCCCAGAAGCTGGGCTGGGGTTGGGGGTATGTTCCAGGAGACTATCTAATCTAAGGGATGAAAAGGGAGGTGACATCAGATGTATGACCTCGCCACACTCCTCAAGTGCCAACCTCCCTGAGCTACCTCCAAAACCGGGGTCCATCTCCCCAACTTTTCTCGCCCACGCCCAGGTTCCCCCGCTTCCTCGGGCCACGTTCCTCCCCAGGGATTCCCGGTCCAAAAGGTTCCTCCTCTACCGAAAGGACTTTCCCTTTCCTCTGACTCCACGAACTCGCCTCCCAACAGGTTTCTAAAGTGCGGCCACCGCGCTCCCCTCGCCCACCGCTAGGAGCCAGGCGGCGGCGGCGAGCCCGGGGCACACGCCCCCGGCGCCCCCGGCTCCCGCGTCCGCTCCCCCCACCCCGTACCCCGCGCCCCCGGCTCCCGCGTCCGCTCTCCCCACCCCGCATCCCGCGCCCCCGGCTCCCGCGTTCGCGCTCCCCACCCCGCACCCCGCACCCCGCGCCCCCGGCTCCCGCGTCCGCTCCCCCCACCCCGCACCCCGCACCCGGGCGGCGCGCGCCCCCCAACTGGCCGCGGCCGCGAATAGCCCCTCTGATGAGCCGGGGGACGGAGCCGGAGCCCGAGTCCCGGAGCGCACTGGGCTGGGGCCGCTCCTCGCCTCCGCCGCGCCGCCCGCTGCCCACACCCGAGGGCGCGGGGAGCCGGCGGGCGGGGAGGGCGGCGGGGATGGAGGGCGCGCGGCGCGGCGCGGCGGGGAACGGGGAGGGGGATGCCCGGGGCGCCCAGGAGCAGCGGCGGGGCCGGCACCGGGGCCGGGCGCCCGGGCGCGCCTTACCTTCGCCTTGCCCCCGCAGTGGCAGCACACGGTCCACAGGTACTTGAGCGTCCGCCAGAGCAGGATGATGAAGAGGCCCCCGAAGAAAGTCACCATGGAGGAGGCCAGGAAAGCCCACCACATGCGCTGGCCCCGGCTGTCGCACGGCACCTCCATGGTCACCGGGATGATGAGCGCATCCATCTTGGGCTCGTGGACCGAGGACGAAGAAGAAGAGGAGGAGGAAGAGGAGGAGGAGGAGGAGGACGCGTCTAGGCTGAGATGGTTCGCGTGGATATTGCTGCTCATTCTAAGACCGCTGCCTCCGCCGCCGCCGCCGCCGCCGCTGCCGCCGCCGCCGCCGCCGCCACCATTTGCCATAGCTAGCAGCGGGCAGCGGGCGCAGGGGCTCGGGGGAGCTCCACCCGCCGCCGGCGCCACCCCGAACACCCATCCACAGCCATGTTGCAGCTCCTGCTGCCGCCGCCGCCGCCGCGGGGCGCGGGGAGGGGGGGGGGCGGGGAGGCGCCTGGGCTCGGGGCGCTGTGCGCGACCTGGCGGGGTGCGCGGAGATATATACCGCCGGCCGCCGCCCGCCTCCCCCGCCGCCCGCCCGCCCGGGGGGAGGGGATGGGCGCGGGGGCGGCTCCCCTCCTCCGCACGCGCCCCGCTCTCCCGGCCCGGAACGCGGCTGTGGAGGGGGCGCCGGGTGCGGGGTCTGCGCCGCCCCCGGGCCGCCCCGCTCTGTGCCCGGCTCTGTGCGCGGCCCGGGCGCCGCCCGCCCGCCGTGCGACACGCGTGTGCGCCGCGCTCCGGCCCGGGACCCCCTCCCCGCGCGCTGTCCGCGCCGCCGCCGAGCCGCTCGGAGCTTCGGAGGCGGCAGCTCGTTAATAATGGATCGGCGGCCCCCTCCGCCCGGGCGCCGGGCCTCCTCCCGCCGCCGCCGCGCTTGGCCCGCGCTTCCCGCTCTGGTGCGCGCTGGGCCGCGGCAGGTTCATCGCGGCCGGTCGCCGGGCGCCGCCGCCGCCGCTAGACCCGCTCCCCAAGCGAGCGCGCCGCCACCGCGGCCCCCGCCCGCCCTGCCTCCCGCCGCCTCCGGCTCCTCCGCGGCCCCGGCCCCGCCGCCCGGGCCTCTCCGCGCGCGCCCGGGCTCCTCGCACCGCCGGCGGCTGCAGCGACTGGAGCGGCGGCTCAGCCTCCCGGCGGGAGGGAGGAAGCTCGCGGTGCGGGGCGCGGAGCTCGGGGCTGGGCAAGGGGCAGGGTGACCTCTCGGCAGCGGCCTGGCGCGCACCCCTGCCACCCCCCAGTGTCCAAGGAGGAGTGCCCCAAGCCCGGGCACTGGACCTCACGACTCTTCCCAGTGTTCCGCGCCCCCAGCACAGCTCCCTGGGGTCCCGAAAGGATGGGTGGACCCGCATAGCGGGCCATTTTCCCCAAAGGAGACCCCATTGGGGAGGGGAGGGGGGACCAGCTGTGGACTGGATTCCACAGGCCTCAGGCCTTACGATCCTAGATCCTGGGCCTTAGGAGGGAGGAGGGCCCATCTTCAAGGTATACAGGCTAGTTCGACCCCCACCAACCCTGAGTTCGCTCCTCAGCCCCCCCCCCCCCCTTTCCTAGACTCTCCTGGGCCCTGTGCGTGGAGGCAGGGCCATGGGGAGGCTGGGAGGCTGGCGAGCGGTCTTTGGCCTTGACAGCAGCAGGTGGTTTTCCTCCTGAAGCCACAGAGGCCGCCTAAGAAAGTAGACAAGGATGGGCAGGGGGCCTTGGCCTCGGGGCTCCAACCTGCAGTTGAGTTCCCTGAAGTCGCTTTGCTGGACTCCATCGTGTGAGGAGGGCAGCTACCATAGAAGAAGGAGTGCCCCAGGCTCCATTAAGCCCACCTACCCCCCTCCCCCAGGGTCTTCCCTCCTCCCCGCTTCAAGGTGAGAGAGAGTCTGGGTTTGCTCCGCAGCCTTTACCCCTGTACCCGGAGGGAGTCCCCTTCAGGTGTTCTCAGAGACCTCGCCCCCTGTGCTACCCGCTGGGCTATAGGGTCTTCCAGTGCTGATTAATAGGAAGATGATCACGCTGAAACCGGTTTGGCTCAGTGGATAGAGAGTCAGCCTGCGGACTGGAGGGTCTCGGGTTCGATTCCGGTCAAGGGCCCTTCCCTTGGCTGCGGGCACATCCCCAGTGGGAGACGTGCAGGAGGCAGCTGGTGGATGTTTCTATCTCATGGATGTTTCTAACTATCTCTCTCCCTTCCTCTCTGTAAAAAATTAATAAAATATCACACTGTCCCCTCACTGCCCACAGTGGTTTCCTCAACACTTCCAGCTCATTGCTTTAAGTCTAGCTGGAATTCTCTGGTTCCTTTCAGCCCTTCCTGTGCTGAGGGGAAGTTAGCATCCTTCGCTGTATAGGCCAACACTCTGCCTGAGCCGGCGCTCGGCCCCGCCCCTCGCCCTTGAAGGCCTGGACCCTGGAGAGGACCTGGCAAAGGAGGCCGCGCTGGGCAGAGAGGCTGAACGGGATGTTTGCAGCTCCTCCTGCTCCATTCACAACATAGTCGTTGCATTCAGGACACACACCATTAGAGAAAGGTCAAGGTCAAAGGGGGAAATGAAATGAGACAGAGTTCTTGGTGTCTGGTACTCGAAAGCAGCATGTGAAAAGAAGCTACAGTCTTTTCCAGAAAATGGAATTGTCGTTCGTTTGGGATCTCCAACCTTGTCTTCCGTGTCCAGCAGCCACTCTGAAGGCCTCCCTGCCGGATCAGTCCCATCCAGCAAAGGCCCTGGGGTCTGCCCAGCACTGGGGCGGGGTGGAGGTGGGGGTGCTGTGAGGATGTGAAAGCAAATGACTTTGGCCTTGAGGTTCCTTGGTTTATTCGCCTTCTAAATGGCTGTAGTTTGCTGCCTTTGGGCCTCCATCTATGTCAGGAAATTCAAGGGTTTTCCTTAAATCAAGTCCAAGATTTGAAACCTGAAAACAAAATATGCATGACATAAAAACATGCATGACATAAAAACAGCAGCAAAGGATAGGGCATTTTCCCCAGGGGATAGAAAACCCCCATCATGGATTCCCTCCCCCAAAAGCTGAGCTTTAGAAACCAACAAATCCCCTCCAGGCTTCTCCGGACTTCCCCCCAAACCCAGGTTCCCCTGAAACACCATCTGGGGCTCTTAGCAACAGGCCACTGGTTGCTGTGACTTGTTAGCCCACATGCTGGATCGCCAGCTGTGTTTCTCCTCTACCATCATCTTCATCTCAGCATCCTTCCAGAGAGTGCCAGAGGCCACTAGACACCACCTCCTGCTCTCTTCATCACCCCTGCCTGTGCTGATTGCAGCTTTCAGCAACTTCTGTGTTATCAAAACCTGGGCTCAGTTGGCATTCATCAGAGACCCTCGCTGTGCAAGTCAGTGTCCTGCCATCCCTACCACCTCAGTCCTTCGCCGCCTTCCACGTGGCCTGAGCAGTGGGCACTGAACGAGACAGCGCTGCCACACAGCACCACCCACCGGAAACAGACCTCCTCAGGCCTTTCCCCGCGGCCTCTTGCCTTCTTCTCGGCCACAAACACGTGTGCCGGGTTCAGGAAACCTTGCGCCTGGCCTCACCAATTGGGGAAGAGTTTCGGCACAGGCAAGATGGAACGTCAGACTTAAAAGGGACCTAGGGACCTTTCATTCATTGTGTTTTATCATTTGTAAATTGGAATAAAAACAGGAACTGCCACACACACACACACACACACACACCCCTCAAGGGTAAGGTGACCAGACGTCCAGCTTTTGGCCGGACAGTCCCAATTTTTCGGGACTTTTTTAAAACGCCGTGGGACGCGGGGCAAATTGTTAAAAATCAGGATGTCTGGTCACCTTACTCAAGGTCATTTGTAAGGATAAAAAAGAAAACATACAGATTTTTTGTGTAATTACTGTGACCCAAAAACAGACAGCCACACTCAGACCGTTTCTTCTCACTCCCAAGCCAGCACTTGTGCGTGCAAGCCCTGAGGCAGGTGCTGCGTTCAGGCGGAAAATTGTTGCTCCCTGTCTCCACTTTGCTGTCCTCCATCCCGAGAGCCCTTCTCTCCATGGAAATGAGAACTGAGGCCAGTCCCCCTGCCCTCTGCTGCAGCAATGACATGACAGCCTGGAGGGTCCCCCACAGCCAAGCCAGGATGGTCTCCAGGGCAGGCAGAGCCACTCCAGCCTGAATGGCCCTCTGAACCCTGACGCATGCCCATTCACTGCCCTCCCGCTGCTGGCAAAGCCACAGACACGTGAAGGGTATAGAGAAACTAGGAATAGCCCAGTGCTCTTCACCTCTTGTAGGTGTGTCTGCAGACTGGGAGTTAAGGACCATTGCACAAGCAACTGAAGGCCTCAACTAAAGTGGAAATTTCAACCTCCTCTGTTTGAACACAACGCAGGTCACTTATTTACTTCTAACTACGTTTACAGATGTCTCAGAGAGGAGGTCAGCCTCTTCATCATGTGAACATGGGCCTGTGGCTTCAGAGCAACCCAGGGTTTCAAGTTTCTAAAGACTTCTAATCTGAATAAACCCAACTGATTGAAAAGAAAGAGATAAAAGTGCATAAGCATACAAACGGAAAAAGCAGAGTGGTTGAAGTAATAGGCAAGAGGAACAAAGAAGCTTATTTAATTAAATGTTGGCCAGCCATCATAATTATTGTTCACCAGATCTCATCTATCTGGGACCTGGACTCAGTTCCAATCCTCCTGACATCAGTCTTAGTGATTTTGCTGTGGAAAAGCCAGGAGGACTCTGTAAGTGATGCAGCGCCCTCTGGTGGCGCTTTCTGGCACGACATTATTTTGTGAATGTTTGAAAGAAGGGTTCATCACAAAACCAGTTTGGCTCAATGGATAGAGCGTTGGCTTAGGGACTGAAAGGTCCCGGGTTCGATTCCGGTCAAGGGCATGTACCTTGATTGCGGGCATATCCCCAGTAGAGGGTGTGCAAGAGGCAGCTGATCGATGACTCTCTCATCGATGTTTCTAACTCTCTCCCTTCCTCTCTGTACAAAATCAATAAAATATATTTTTTTTTTAAAAAGAAAAAAGGGTTCATTAAAAGTCAGAAATTTGGTATGAAAATTCCAAAGAGGAAAGTCCTGCTGTAAAAACATGAAACCACAATAATAATACCTACTTACCATTTGCACCAACATAAACACTGTTGTGATCAAAGCGGTAGCAGGACTCATATTGTCACCAGGATTTAATGTCCTATCTTCTAAGCTGTAACTACCATTGATAACCTAATGCTCCTTAAATTACCATTGTGTTATCTTCTAAATGGCTAATAAATCTCTTCCCTTCCTTTAGTCACTATAGTCTCTGTGATTAAGAAAGGGCAGT